ATAGTTTACTTAATTTATTTTATAACAAATCATATCATCATACCAAATCTATCCTAATAACATTTTATAAATATAATATCAAAAAAGAAAAGAAATAGATTTTTATATATTCGTTATTTTCTAAAATACTAAATATTCTATTATTGTATTTTATTATCTAACCATTGATAGAAAAGGTCCCAAATTTTATAGAATTATTTATCCTCTTGTTCTCTAATTTCAAATGTCAATCTACTCATTTCAGCACATTCCAATATTTTCTTAAGAGGTCATCCTGAATCTTGAGGAAGCTTTGCGGAGGTAAACCTGGCTAGTTTGCCTGGTCATTGGGCACATGATGGTCAAGAAAACACCCCCTCATCCTCATAAGCCACTGGTCCTGTTCTGACCGAGCTCCCGAAACAAGACAAACTCTCTGACGTGAACTCAAAAGATTCCTTTATTAGGAATGCCAGCAGCCCCGACAAAACGTTTCTCTCTCACTGCGGGCTAATAAGCCTGTCCGGTAGGGAGATGAATAGTTGTCTACCACATCTATTCATCTCCTCCCCCTGCCTTTTCTCCCCGGAGCTACGGTGGGGCTTCGCTAGCAGTGGTGACTTTTCCGTCCTAAGGACCGGCTCATAGATTTCCACTGTTCTCTCCTCTCCTCTGCCTTCTGCCATCCATGTATCAGGCACTGGGCCCAGCTGTTCCTCCTCTTCCTCATCAGCTACCTCCAGGCCTGGGGGCTGTTGACTCTCCATCTGAGGGCTGACGGACAGCCCAGGCCCTGCCTCTCTCTCTTTCTCTCCCCTTGGAGCTCACAGTTGCCCTGACTCCCACGCCGCCGCCTCCGATTTGGCAGCTGGAGGGGCTGGCGACTAACAGGCCACAACAGGTCCTGAACCTTTCTGGCTCTGCGGAGTGGTGGCTCCAAGGGTGGGGATGGGGAAGAGAGAGGATGGTTCAGTGCAAATGGAACTTCGTGTGCAAGCGTGCGTGCCTGCTGCTTGTGCAAATGGGGTTTTGCACACACACCTGCCCCTTGCCAGGACCCCAGAGTGGGAAAGCAGGTAAGACTGCAAACCTCCCGTCCCTGAAATGCAGCCATTTCTTGAGAAACTCAGGTCTCTCTCTCTCCCCCCCCCCCCCCCCCCCCCCCCCCCCCCCGCAGTTATTGAAGATCTGACCCACAAAACGGGGAATTTCAAGCAATTTGGGATCTTCTGCAACATGCTGGAATCCGCCCTGGCTCAGGTGAGGCACGAACCAGCTTCCGGTACGTGTGCCCCCCCCCTGCCCCCATGCACCACTTTCACATTCTGGGCAGGAGTGGGATTCCAAATTGTGTGCTACCAATTCTGTGTGCTTCGCGCACACACCCTGTGCTCAAAGATTACTTCCCGCGCACACGCAGCACTCAAAGATCACATTGCATGCGCGTGCAACACTCAAAAGATCTCTGTCCGTGTGCATAGAACTCAAGGATCACTTCACATGTGCGCGCAGAACTCAAATATCGCCCTCGGTGAGGTGAGCTGTTTTTTACCTCAGCTGAGGCACGGCAATTTGCTTTGCCGCACGAATCAGCTGAGGTAAAAATCAGTGGAATATAGGACGGGAAAGGGTGTGGCGTGTGGGCGGAGCCAGTCAGAGGCGGTATTTGCTGGTTCTCTGAACTGGTCAAAATTTCCACTACCGGTTCTGAAGAACCGGTCCAAACCAGGTGAATATCACCTCTGGTTCTGGGCCTACATTCAGACTCTGGCTCAGCACGAAGATTTATCAAGGCAGGGGTTGGCCCAGTCTTCCATCCTCCTCCCTGCCACCTCCTGTTTGCTTATACATAGGTAGTCCTCGACTTGCGACAACATTTCTGTGGCCAAGTGAGACGTTTAAAGTGAATTTTCTACAGCCCGGGAAAGGGCTCCGTTGGAGAATGTGATTTATGACACGCCCTGGGAGGAGGAGGGGGGGGAAACAGGGTCATAGGTTGGCAATAAATTACCTAGGACAGAGCCGACTGCACTTGGGAAAAGTGCCGACAGATTGCTCCTAATAAATAATTGGATTTCTTTTGAAACTTGGCTGGCGGCTCATGAATTAATTAGGGCGTCCGTTGGAACCCTGACATTCTTGTTGATCAGTAACAAGTTTTTGGACTCCAAAACCTGTCTGTGTGAACGATTCTGGGAACAATCTGGTGTGTCTTTTTCTCTTCTTTTTTTTTAACCTCTTTAAAACAGAGCAGCGAGTCTGTAACATTGGACCTCCTCACCTACGCAGACCTGGAGGCGCTGCGGAACAGGAAAATCGGGGTGGGACCCCGACATCCCTCAGCCTCCAAAACCTCCCCCTTGAACTCCAAGCGTTACCTCATCCTGATTTACTCCGTGGAATTTGACAGGCGGGTTTGGGGGGGTCCCCGGGAATCAGGTTTTATATTTTTTTTTTTTGGGGGGGGGGTAAATTTTTTATTATTATTTAACATTTCAAAAACATCTTTTTTAGCGAACAGCACGATTCTAGGTTTTCATATTTCCATACAAACATGAATGAATGAATGAATTTGATTACAAATTCATCTTTCACATTTAATTTCATATCCTATCCTTACATTACATATTTTCTATACATTTTCTCAAAATATTTTTCTCAAACTTATTTTATCTATTTTCTAGTCTTTTCTTGACCTATTTCTTTGAACTTTAAATAATTCTTATTCCTTCGTATTCATTATACTTTATACTTTTATCTGTCAGGTGTGCTATTGCATCGCATATTCTTATTTCATCATTTCAAAAATTCCATCCCAATTCAAACAATTCCACAATTACCCATTTGAGTGTACCACCCCTTTACCTTATACATCATTGAATAGGGTTCAAATCTTGAGTAATGGGTATTTTGAGAGACTCTGTTGCTGGTTTAGGTCTTCAGGGGTGAGGGATGGAAAATTTGAGGGACACTCAGTCAAAATTCAGGTGCAACCCTCTGGCCACTTGCGGCTTCACTGCTAATCAGGTGAAACCGCACCCCGCAGGCCAGGATGGGGCAACGACAGTAGTCCTCGACTTAAAACCGCAACTGAGACGCAAAGTTGGGTTAAGTGAGACATTTAAATGAGTTTTGCTCTATTTTACATCCTTCCCTGCCACGGTTGTTAAGCAAAGCACTGCTGTTGATAAGTTAGTCCCCCGTTGTTAAATGAGTCTGGCTTCCCCACTGAGAATCACGTGAGCTTGGGACACAGCCACGGTCATAAGTATGAAGCAGTTGGCGACCGTCTGAATTTTGATCCCATGATTGTGTCGCAAAGGTCGTAAGTGTGAAAAAACAACGGTCCTAATTCATTTTCTTCCATGCCGTTGTAACTTTGGACGGTCACAAAATGAACTGTTGTAAGTCGAGGGCTGCCTGTATGACAACTATACGACCTGCGGACTTCAACTCCCAGAATTCCTGAGCCAGCCAATATGGCTGGCTCAGGAATTCTGGGAGTTGAAGTCCACAGATTGTAAAGTTGCCATCACCCCGCCATTGTATAGGGCCAGAAATTCAAAATGGCGGCTGGATTTGGGATTCCTCCCCCCCACCCTTTGGGGCATCGAGGAGACCTCGGCTCTCGACCCTGTGAGCCTGTTTGGGATGCTGTGTTTGTCCCAGTCTTCCGCCATTCCTGACTTGCGGCCTGGTTGTCTCGATTCCCGGCAGGATCCATTACCCCCTACCCCTGCCCTACGTTGGAAAGCCGGATCCGGTGGTCCTGCAGAAAGTGATCCGGGAGCTGAAGCAGGAATTGGCCATGTTGAAGGCTAAGCCAGGCAAGGACTTCCGGGACGTGGAGATCCGTCGTCTTCGGGAGGAGTGAGTGAGACCGAAAAGGAGGGCGGGTAGATCTGGGCAAGGGGGGTTGATCCGGAGACAGGGCATGGGGTCTGCAAACTCTCCTTGGAATACACAGAGGGATAGAATTAGATTCCAGCAGTTCCCCCATTTAAATTCTGAGTCTCGAGCCAAACTTCCAGAACTTCGAAAGGATTTATTGGGAGTTTACATGCCTGCACTGCCTGGGTGTAGCCAACTCTGAGGCACATCATTCATTGTCACCCTTGACCCTGGTTTTCCCTCCACCCCCCTGGATGTATCATAATTCATATTCTCCAATGGGACACATCCATAGCCCAAAGTCATCAATCATGCTCTCCAATTAGGATTGTGCACGGCAGAAAACTTCGGTCACCTAGTTACTATCTTTGAAAACATTTATGGAATGCACTTTTGGTTTCCAAGCTGCTGCACTGCTCCCCCCTCCTCCCTTTCTGTTGGCAACTCTAAAAAGACCAGAGAAATATTTGATGAGTTGACAACTGGAGGGTCTAAGAGCCAGGAGTTAAATTGCAGAGAGCAATTAAATTAAATCTTAAGGTAGTCCTCCATTTATGACCTAAAATATCTGTTTCTCTCTCTCTCTCTCTCACCCGCCACCCCCCGCCCTGCCCTGCAGGCTGCAGCGCGCTCTGGAGGAGAAGCAGCTGATGGAGTCGGTGCTGCTGAACTCCCAGGAGGAGCTGCAGGTGGCCGCCAAGGGCAGCGGCTTGAAGGAGGTGAAGATCCTGAAGAAGGTGGTGCAGACGCTGGAAGAGCAGCTGGCCAAGGAGCGGGCCAAGCACCAGCGCCTGGCCGCCCGGCGCCTGCAGGAGAGCCGGCAGCTGGCGGACGAGGTAGGCAGAAGCCCCGCCCAGTCTGGAAGCCCCACCCCCCCACCCCCGGGCTAGGGCCAGCATCCTCCCGCTGGGAGGGCAGGCGGACTGGAGCCACTCGTTTGGGGTTACGAGAGAGACACACACACACACCCTTGAAAAAAATGCTATTTATCACCCGGTTTCCAAGTTCAGAAGTTTGGATTTTCCACCACCTCATCGGGTTGCGGAAAAAGGACGTGCAATCTAGTGGTTAAGGCACCGGGCTGAAAAATAGGAGACGGGGAGTTCTAGTCCCGCTTCAGTCATGAAAGCCAACTGGGCCAATCCCCAGGAGACGGGGAGTTCTAGCCCTGCCTCAGCCCTGAAAGGGTTGGGTGACTTTGGGCCGGTCTCTCTCCCTCCCTCTCTCAGCCCAACCCACCTCAAAAGGTTGTGGTTGTCGTAGGGAAAGGAGGAGGAGGAGGAGGAAGGCCGCGTCGGATAGATGTTTCATGACCCAACTAGGTAACATCATCAGTGATCTCCCTCCCTCTGGGCCCTCTGAGCTTAGTGGTTTTCTTGCAGACATTTCACGACCCAAATAGGTAACATCAGTGATTTTCCTCCCTCCATTCCTCTTTTTTCCTTCCTTCCCCCCCGCTTTCCTTCCTCCCTCCCTCTTCTTCCTTCCTTCCTCCCTCTTTTCCTTCCTTCCCCCCTCTTTTCCTTCCCTCCTCCCCTTTCCTTCCTCTTTCCTCCCTCTTTTCTTCCTCCCCTCTTTCCTTCTTCCCTGCTTCCTCCTTCTTCCATTCCTTCCTCTTTTCCTTCCTTCCTCCCCTTTCCATCATCCCTCCCTCCCTCTTTTCTCCCTCCCTTTTCCTTTCTTCCTCCCCTCTTTCCTTCCCTCCCTCCTCTCTCCCTCCCTCTCCTTCCTCTTTCCCTCCCTCTTTTCCTTCCTTTCCTTCCTTCCATCTACTTCCTTCCCTCCCTCCCTTTCCTTCCTTTTTCTTCCGTCTCCTTCCTTCCCCTCCTCTTTCCTCTCCCTCTTTTCCTTCCTCCCTCCCCTCTTTCCTCCCTGAGCTTACAAACATTTTCCATTGTGGTTGTGGTTTGTGTGTTGTGTTCCACACAACACCCTCTTTGATCCCTCTTTCCGATCCTCACAGCTGGCCGAAGTGAAAGCGGCCGAGAGAAGCCTCCGGATCCGTGTGAAGAACCTAACCAACGAGCTGGCTTTATACAAAAAGGGAAGGCAAGTGGTCCTCGCTTAACGACCGTTCAAAGTTACAGCAGTCTCCGAACGTTACTCACAACTCTTCTTCAAGGCTACCTCCACAGTCAACTGGGTCCCATTTTGGCCCCCTGGCAGCTGGTTCAACATTTGCCGTATCCCTGAGTCACAAAAATGCCCATTTGGGAGCGTGGGTTCCCCTTAACGGCCCTGTGACTCACTTAGTGACCAGGGGGCACTTGCTTTACGGCCTTTGTAAAATCAAGTCAGGTCATATGTGGCGACTGGATTTAAAACCGCAGTGATTTATAAACACCCCAAAATCGCCCAGGCTCCGTTTTGGTCATTAGGTGAGGATCACCTACATTTGCCACGTAGGTGCCTGCTTTTTCCAAGCTGAGCCCATTCCATTTCCACTTTCCCTCCCTCCACTTCACGCCCACTTTATACAGGCAGTCCTTGACTTACGACGACAAGCCCAAAATGTTCTGTGGTTAAGTGAGACCTTGGTACAGTGAATTTGGCTCCGTTTCCTCACCTTTCTTGTCCCTGTTGTTAAATGAATCACCACCATTGATAAGTCGGTAACATGGTCGTTAAATGAATCTGGCTTCCCCTGTTGACTTTGCT